TTTTTTAAAAAGGGTCAGCTCCAGATATTTATTTTTCAGTGTCATAGAACTTGTCTGTGAAACAGCTTCTGAGTGATTTTCTAGATGTGAAAGTAAAGCCACACAGGTGCTAATAAAACAATACTAATTAAGAATAGCGAGAATAGAGTAATCAAAGGAAAAGGAAAAGCATGTTACACTGAGCTGCTAAAGGTCATCTAAATGCAGTCTACCTTGAAATGATGCATTAAGTGCCCTCCCTGAACCTAGCTTATAGTAATATAAGTTATATAAGTAATTTATTTTATAGTATATATAATTATATAGTGTATATATACTATATACTATATATATTATATATATAATATATAGTATATATAGTATATAGTATACATATGATACTTATTATATAGTAAGATAATATAATTATATAGTAATATAATTTTACTTAGAGTAATTATATAGTAATATAATTATTATATAGTAATATAATACAATTTTTATAATTAAAGCAGAGAACACTGAAAACACCCAACTCTCCTAAGCTAGAGGGCTGTTTTAGTCTGATTTCCTGCCATAGATTGCTTACTTGGGTGGCTTGCAAGAAGACTAAGTAGATGTTCCTGTTTCCTGGGAGTAATTTTGTAATCAGTTGGCCTTCTTGAACGTTAGAAAATGTTCATTATTCACACACCTTGACTGAAGCTACTTCAGCTGTTTTGCAGTACAATGACTAACAGCGATGCCATATGTAGTAAAGCAGAATAGTCAATGTCATAGATATTTTCTTTTGTACCTGCTGGGTTTCTATCATATAGCTTTGGAAGTATTCTTTAATGAGCTCAGAGTGCCAAGGTGATGTCACCCCAGTGTGGTTGTCAGCTGTCCCCAGGCAGAGGATGATTTGCATTCAGACCAGGCATCCTACAGGGACAGAGCTCCTTATCTGTCTGTCAGTAGTTCATATTAAATGTAGGACAGATCTACTATGGAGTTCAACCTGCTGTCTCCTACATATTAAATAAAAACTTGCTCAAAGGTACTATGTATGCAATTCTCTGAAAAATTGGTTTATGTGGTTTATAAGACAAACATATATGTACCAAGATTTAGCCTAGATCAGATGCGATACCAAGATCTTGCTTTGTTTGGTGTTTTGTGTGTGCTTCAGAATATCCAGAATGTGCCTATATTTTTGCCATGTTGATTCAAAAAAATCTTGCAACCATTAATTTTGAAATATAAATCACACATGGAAAAAAATTACTTGAGAGTTGTCTAATGATCCGTAAAAAGTCACAGCTACATCTTTGACTTGATCAAGACTTCAAACGCACCAGAATGTGTGTTCCTATTCACACTGGAAAACACAGTATTACTAGTGAGGCTGAATGAAAATCTCATCTAGAAGTAACAGTATTCCGAACCAAAAATAAAGCTTAAAAAGTAAAAGTCTGTTTCAGGAGAAACAAGTTTCATATGCACATCAAAGCTCAGTTGGCAGACATTACTCTAATCCTATATTTGCTTCTGCATATGTCTTTGTTAGTCACTAGATTCAGTACCATTCACCCTCTCCTTGTCATTATACTTTCATCCTATATAGTTCTTATCAGTTGATTGCTGGGTGTTTCTGATAACAACGTACTCCCATGTGATCTGGGGATATCACTGGGTGCATCAGAATTAAAGTTAAGTTTCATTTCCTTGACCCAGCTGAGCATACACTGGGATAAAAAACTCTTTTCTTATGAATAGTTTGATTCTCAGTAGGACTGAACTCTGAGAATTCATCATCATCATCAACTCAAATATTGTCCTGCATTTTCTTGTTGAATGACTGTTCAACCTCCCTCCAATGCTTTCTTATATCAGTATCAAAGTCTCTCCTCTCTTTACCTCATAATTCCATGTGAACTGTTGTCCTAATTCCCTTTTTAATAATAACATCAAGACAACCCAAAAATGAGCTCAGAACGTATTTGTACATTCCTACTTTGATTATACAAACAACCAAAATTTTCACTAAGAAGCAGGAGTTTTCATTAGAATCTGACAAACAGTAAACCTCTGGCATTTCCCTAAAAATGTTGCTCAAATAATTGCTTTACTTTGTTCCATCAGTTAGAGCTCTAAGTGAAATATGCATTATCTGAGATCAAGGCATGTGGTTACATGCAGACATTAGTAGCAGCATATAGTACATCCTTCACCCCCTTCCTAGTATTGTTACATTTTTCCCTACCCAGGCAACTACAGAGAAGAGTGAACTGTCTTATTTTGTCTAACAGAGACTTGTGTGAGGATGTAGCTGTTTCTATACGTCCCTCCATCCCGTCTCACCACTGAATGTGAGAACTGATCCCAGGACAGTTCATTTACCACGTAACCCCTGTGAGTAGGAGCAGAATATCTATTGCTAACTTGAGGCAAGGGCATTTTCTCATTGTGCCCAAGTCATAATCAGAAGAAACTATGGGAAACCTGGGTGTGTTCAGGTTTAGATATCACTTACAAGAACTAAAGCAGTTTTAGATTTTTCAGTTTCCATGTTGTTTGAGGAGCAAGGAGAGAAAAAGGACATTTTACAAAGAAATATTTCTGGTCAGGTTAGGCAGAAAAGATTCCCACTAAAATGAAATTTTCATATAAACTAGGTCAGGAAAATATGTTTACTTTATTGCATGAAGATTTGTATAAATTTTGCAGTTTCTGCATACTGTGAGTTTCACAGATTTGTTTAAAAGAAACTCCTAAACTGAATCAGGAGCTAAACTTTTGACTTTGAAACAACTTCCAACTTGCCCTAAAAAAAAAATTCAGATTTTCTGTTGCTTAGACTTCTAAAGAATAAATGTGACATTCTTTATCATTTCCATTTGGCAGTGTTTGGTTTTCAAATTGAACATATATGCACATACACATAACTTGTTTTATTTTAGTTCTGTGCATTTTCATAAACTCTGTGATTATCTCTAGTAAATATGACACCCAGATCCCCTGGCTTTTTCCTCCTTAAAGGGAGCAACTGTGTATCTTCCAATACATTTGCCTAAAGACACATATATGTAAGATATTGGTGCATATGTCATCTTTAGCCTGTTTCCCAGAATGAATATTTTGTGCATACAAGGGATGCAGAGGGTACCAACCACTTCTCTTTCTGGCCCCTGTGCTGATGTTGTGGAAAATTGGTTTCAAATTAGATTATCTGACTTCTTCTGCTCTTATATTTTGATTTCAGAATAACAGTCCATCATTGAGGGTGAGCATAAATAGTAACAAAGGAGTAAAGCACAGAGGAAGAAGGGCAGGTGGTAGGAGCTGCAATGTAAAGCGGTGTGGGATGGGCAATCACGCACATTTAGTTGGTTATGCAAACACCTATGTCTGGGTATAGTCCACAATCTCAGGATCTTGCTACATAAAACAACAAAAGATTCAGACATGATTTTTTCACCATTTATCTCTCTCCTCACATTCCAAAACTAAGACTACTATTTTATTCAATTTGAATAGGAATACAAGTGAAAAAAAATCCTGACTTCTTCAGGATTGATTAGCTCTGTGCTTCAGGTATTCAGATAATCTATCTCACATCTCAAGCAAGCAGTACAGCTGTCAAAACATAGGTGACCCCAAACATTTAACTGTTCATATAAAATGGAAGTGCTTCAGCAGAATAGATATAATTAAGAAGAACAAGGGATTTGCCTTAGTATCGTACTTTACTAAGCACTGACCTTTTGTGGGCAGCTGTTTTGTTGGTATGTGAATGTAACTCCTCAGACCATTCTGGTACTCATGAAAGAGTATTTTTGAAGAAACAAGGTTTTGCACAAAATCTCTTTATCAGACTTAGTGAGGAGGATCTACTGAAGAACAGGCTAAAGGAGCAAACAAAGGGCTAGAGGGATGATCAGAAAAACACTGAATAGTTAGCTCAACTATTCAAAACAAACAAGTCAGTGCAAAACATTAAGTTAGTAGAGCTAAAGAAGAAGGGGGCTAAAGCACCGATTGCAAGCTTTGGCTAGAAAAAGCTACCATTTTCAGACAGGTGGGAGGTAAGAAATGTGTTAAGAGTAGAAGGAAGGAAAAAAAAACCTGTTGGTGATTTTGCTGTTCAATGAACCTTTGCTTCTGCATCGTGTGCATTGGATAAATGGATTACTTTCCCCACACTTTGCCATAGAGCCAGGTGCTTGTATCTCCTGGGGGGAAGATGAGAAGTGTAAATGCCAGCTCACGTAGCAGAGACAAGGTGACTATAGGTTCACTAGCAAGAGCTGTTTAAGATGGTTTCTGGTTTCATGTGACGATGACATTTACGTAAAGGTATGCTGGCTTGAGGACGCTTTTCTGATAATTTCATTTTTGAGCAATTGACCATATACATAATTCTACAGCTGTAGAATTGCAAGCAGTGCAAGGAAAGATTGCTCAGGTTTTAATATAATTAATCTTACTTTAATTGTTAATATTTTACTTTCTCTAAATGCTTTTAAGAATCTACTTGTTTTCAGTTTTATAAAACGTTTTAAAAAATCATAGAATTTTTGAGTTACTTAAATATTTCCATGAATCAGACCTAGAAAAACAAATCTGGTCTGCTTAATATTTTTTTTGCATATTGCCTTCATGTATCTAGACTATGTAAAACATTATTATTAAAAATTTTTAGCAGTGTCCTGCAATAGTTAGATGAACTTCACAGGTATATGTGATAATTGTGGCAAATCAGAAAAGGGCCCCAAAAAAAAAAAAAATCCAAGCCAATTTTATTGTTTCGAATTGGTGTCTTATTTGGTTCTGAACTGCAACTAAGAGTCGAAGTGGAGAAAATCACCTAAATTTACCCTCCCCCTTAGTCAGCGGTGAGCTTCACAGGACCCTCCCCAAGCCATATAAGGCCAGGAAGAATGTGCTAAGCACTGAGTGTGCTAAGAATAAAGTTGTACTGGGATGGATAAGGTTACTTTGAACTCTATATTTCATGTTTCCTGACATACCCCCCAAAGAACTGCAATTATGCTAGCAAGGCTGTAGGAGTGTTGAACAGTTCTTTCCCAGTTCTTTTGATTTTTGTTGCCTCTCCATGCATTCCTGTCCTGTTTAAAGCTGTGGTTTTTTACATTTTATTTCTGGTGTGCACGGTTCTGAGGATATTAGACAAATGAGCTGAAGGTTCACTCTGAGGCATGGCTATTTTTGTTAGAAGCTGATACTTTAGACTGAGCTTGAAGCGTTGCCTCTGGAAGGCCTTGGGTTGTTCTGGGAGGCCAGGTCTGCAGAGGAAACAGACATTTCAGGGAGCATAAAAGAAGAAGGAACACAATTAGAAAAAGCAGAGGACCTCCCTCCTTCTCATTCTGCAAGTCCTGTGAGAGTAAGCAACCCAGAAGTACTATCTAAGCTGCCACAGTGTATCTTGACCTTTTAAACAGAGTATCTCTTACCATCATCATGGCCGAGATAACAGCAGAAGGTACAGTAACTCTTTTCAAATATAATTAACCAAAAATTATATGGGCTTTAACAGTATAAGTGAACTGGCATGTCAAAATGATTTGATGTTCTTAGCAAATAACGTTTTCACTCCAGGATAACTTAATTTTGTTTTCTGCATTAATTTCTATTTTTCTTTCCTGTTTTTTCTTCTCTCTTTTACTTTTTCACTCTTGTAGCCTGAGTTTTTACCAGTTATTGAAGCAAGTTGTCTGTACACCTCTAAAAATAGCCTTAGTTTCATTTGCAGAACACCATTATTTAGGCAGCCCCATTAGAGTGATACAAACAGGGAATGTCTGAAGTTAAGGGTTCTATTCTCAAGCCTTTGCTCAGAAAAAAAGCTTTGGTAGTCCCTTATAATCAGAGATTTACCAGAGTCAGAATAGCTTGTTTGCCCTGATTTTTTCCATAGGGAGCACAGATTATTTTTGAACTGTAGATGAAGTTACTGAAGGGTAAAAGGTAAAAATCCCTCTTTTATCCTTATTTAGGTAGACTTCTAAGGGAGTCAGTGAAAATTGTGCTTAAATAAATACGCCAGATGTCAGCCTGCAAAAAGAAAGGCAATTGTATTAACCAATAAATGCATATTCTAAAATGCGAATGTTTAATGTATTTTAATATTTCCTGACCATTCATACTTAAATAACATTTTAGATGCTTAACAATATTTTATCAGCTGAAGTCATAAGAGGGGATATATTTAAAATGCAACCCTCTTTAATACTGAGTATTTTAGTTGAATTTCACTCCAACTTTTTTTCCAGTGTTTATATGAATTTAATAACAAAAATGTAATAATGACAAAAATACAAAAAAAAGCTTTTAAACAGTAAAAACTTCTGAAAGTAACTTTTTTCTTTCAGTGCATGAAAGGTGTAGTTTTCATCTTCCATTTTTATTGTTCATACTTGTAAAAGGATCTGCATTAAGTGCTATTAGAAAGTGATCCTGTTCCTTCTTAAGGGCTGACGTTAGAACTGTGTCAAGTAGTACAATCCTTGCTTGATGTCTGGTTAGCCACATCAGGGAGGCAATGTGATTTTTTAATCAGCAGTTGGACTGATCTATAATTTACTTCTGGCTGCAAATACTGCCAAAACAGGTGGCTCAGCCTGACGGCCCTAACCCAAATACTAACACCGGTTTATTTAGATATTCTTAACAAGGCTGGTTGGAAACATTGGTTATTTTCCAGCTGTTACGAAGCAAATCTGTGAAAAAACCAAATTAGCAAGATTTTTGGTCCAAAATTAATGGCAAAAAATATAAGCCTTTACAACCAGTCTGACTCTTCAATCATTTAGCTTATTAAAGACAGAAAATTAAAGACTCTAGAATGAAACAAAAGACCATTGAATGAAAGAAAATAGAGTCTGATTTTTTAAAAATTTTGTTTGTATAGTGTTTTTACAGAAGTGTTTTTACAGCTGTAACAGTGTATGTCTTCTGTGGGGCTTTTTGTACAAAGCATAGACTTGGATGATAAGGGGCATCAGCTCCCCTGTAAGTAAGCTGACCTTCCACATGACAGGGAAATAAACTGTATAATTAGTTCGTTTGGCTTAGGTTTTTTTGTTTTGTTTTGGTTTGGTTTTTTTCCCATGTACTTGGAATGCACTTGTAGTGATTGACTGATTTTTAAACACTGTATCCACAAGATGGAAATTTTATTTATGGCAAAAAGTAACAATTCAGCCTGGAGCTAATGTTTCACTGCAGCTTGTTTTCCTCTGGGGCTAGTACTGGCACTCGCAACCTGAAAGTTTAGATATAAACTTCAGCAACATATAGTTTGGATAAACAAAAAGCTATTCAACTACCTGTTACTTCACACAATTTATTTTGTTTTCCACACCACCTCCCAGCCCATGATTTGCTGGGCTCTTCATGACTTTGGTAGGACTAAACCACTTGCTCCTTGCAATAGGTATTTATAACTCTTTTTTCCACTGTCAGTCACAGAGCCAGACTCCTGGCTGCTTGCCTTTGGGGTACCATGCTGACACATCAGAGAGCAGGGCACAACAGCCGTGCAGGCACTGCCATGGACAGTGTGGCTGCTGTTTAGAGATTTAGCCCAAGCCTGGCAGGGTGTGCTGGTGCACATCTCAGGGCTCTCCTTCGACAGCCTGTGTCAGGGCAAGGATCTATTCAGAGATGAACACGGGCAATGGGGAACTCTTTCAGGTTCAACAGCATGATAATGACAGTGAGATTTAGTAACTCAAATATGTAGCCAAAAAGCAATTACCCTGCACTGAATACTTGCACCAAAACCTACATGTGTTACTTATTCTTTTACACAGTTACAAATTGTTAGTTGTGGAAATACTGGTGAAATGTACACTGTGAAAGACAAAATGAGATCCCTGAAGACAGCAATTCATAAATGTCCTTAGAAAGCTGGCAGGACCCATGTCTCTAGCTGTCAAGTATTTAGGAGAAGATTCCAAAGGATTATCTTCAGCATTCTCATATTACATGTCATTGGGATCACAGAAATGTACTATTAAAAAGTGGAAGTCCTTAAAGTTGTATTTTAAAAAAGTACAAAGAGTCAGTACAGGGACTAAGTACTCTGTCTTTGCAATACTCTCAGGATCTAACATTATTATTAATATTAGTCATATTATTGCAATTGATACTGATTATTGCTCTTGTAATTATTACATTTAAGCTGTTACTGAGTATTCTTGTAGCAGCCAGGATCTTTTCTCAGGTCCACTTAAGACTTTGTCTAAAAAGCCATGGGTCTCCAGCTGTGCTACTCCACTGTGTCTATGAACACAGGGATTGGACTGGACTCAGTGGCAGATGTAGTTGAAGGTGCCACCACTGAAACATGAACAGAAAAAGGCTGACACCTCTGAGAAATGGCTCCTGCCAATGTACAGCTTAATCTGTATGTGCACAACGGCTCCAGCACCAGCCCTATAGCTGGTCCTTTCTAGTCCAATCTCCTGCAGGTCACAGTGCAAGGTTGATGGGCATCCCCTGACACTTCATCCTCCCACGCAGGGAAGAATGAACAGAGACCAGCTCTGCTTGCTGCAATGCTCTGGAGACTGTGCACTGATCTAATCCAGGAAGGTGAGGAGAGGAGAAAGACAAGGTTTCTGTGCCAGCTGTTTGTCTCCACAACTTATTTCCCCAGTGGAGCAAGAGAGAAGCAGGAGTCAAATAGAAATGTGACAATGAGTCACAGTTTGGTCCTTATTTTGCAGCTGAGTGCTGTGCAACTACATATTTCCTCTGTCTGGGAGCAGGCTGCAAGGAGACAGGCTAGCCCCAAGGCTACACACAGCTTGTCAGTGACAAAATCAAAATTAGCTTCTGCATTTCAGCCCTTTTCTCAGGCTATTGGATAACTATGAAAAGTTTTAAGATGTAAACCATTTCAAAAGGCAAAAATATGTGTATGCTTGAAGATTAACAGACATTAAACTACTAATGTATGAGAAATAACACACAAGAGCCAGAGGATAAAATCCCAATTATTTCTTGAGTGTGATGGTCAGAAGCTAACAGAGGTATTCAGTTGGCAAAATGTTTAATGAAGGCACAGTAGAAGCAAGAGTCAGATAGCTACTTCTCATGGTAATTCATGTACTGCTGCTAGATGTGCCGGTTGTGCTGTCTGCAAGAGGGGCCTAGATGAATAAATTGGATTAGATTATTCATTTTGATGACTAAAGGCATAAGAGGTGTTTCTTATCCTCCTTTCTTACTTCTGTTTATGCTTGGAGCTAGGGTGTTTATATAGAATCTATTTGCATCTAGCAAATTTTCAAAATGATGAGTTGTCTTCTTTTTCTGCCTTTCAATGTTGATGAGGATGAAGATAGTATACCTATTACAGCAGGGTAAGGAAAATACAACAATTTTAGCTATGATTTTTTGAAATCTGTCTGTTCTTGTTCAGAACAACCTGGTAAAATCAACAGCCTAATTACCCAAAGTAAGAAAAAAAAAAAGTCCTAAAACCCAGCTCTGCCTGTGAAAAAGTCTTTGTGGGGAACAAAAGCTCCAAATTCTTACTGAAGTTCCTTAAAATTATAGTTCCCTGTGACTGTGGGCCTGTACAACTGTGCTGGTTTGGCTTCAGCCTTGTGTTTTCTCATACATAGCCTGTTGAGGCAACCAGGAGGCCAGATTGATTAGCTTGACTTTTAGGTTTAAGAATTTGTGGACAACTCTACTCAAAGCCAATACAGTATTTATGCACCTTCAGTTGGTACAGGGCAACACTTACACACAATCCATTACTTTAGGTAGACCCTTAGAGAGTCAGGGGATTAGCTCTGGACAGCACAAAGACTGAAAACCTATAAAGCAGAGGGCCAAGCTAATGCATCGTGCTAGTACACGACAGGCTAAAACTGTGAGTGTACAGTTAGCTCTTGTTGTGGGCAAACAGCTCGACTGTAGGTCTGAATATTTATTTACTTTTTTTTTTTTAAACGTCACAAAGAACCTTGTGATCTTAAGTATTTGGAGCATATTTTAATGATACTTATATCATGATAAATGTTTTTACAATCCTACCAGTGTTTTCAAATTATTGGGAAAATCAGTTACCACTGACCTAAAAATGAAATCTGTGCAACTACTTACATTTTCAGAAATCCCAACCTACAGTTTCAGAGACCTAAACATTGAAATGAAATCTAGTCTAGAAATATTTTGAGAGCTTTCACCCATTGCCTGCAATATAAATACTGAGTAAGAGGTAGATTTATTCTCTTTTTACTGCTCAGTTCTGGAAAGCAAAAATTGTTTTATTTTAAAACATTTCATAATACAGGTCTGGCTTCTGTTCAGGACATACTGAGGAGAGAGAAACAAATCAGAGTTACCCCATTTGAAGTAGCTCACCATTTACAGAAATGAAAAGCTTTTTCCTTTCTGATGTTGACAGTCACTGGTTTATTCTCTGTTTTAAAAGACTGAACTAGTGCAAATTATTCATTTTAC